ACACGCTGTAGGGACTATGTCTCTTGGCTGGCCTGGGAACGCCTTGGCATTCCCCCGGAGGAGCTGGAGGAAGTGGCTGGAGAGAGGGAAGTCTGGGCATCTTTGCTTAGACTGCTGCCCCCGCGACCCGGTCCCGGATAAGCAGAAGAAAATGGATGGATGGATGGAATATGTCAGAGTATCACTAACCCCAAACATGACCGGTCAAGCAGAGTTAATGATGCAACAGGCTATTTCACTCTGCAACAGTGAGAAATATGGAGCTACTAACACATTGCTGCTCTTTCACTGAGCTCAAAGAGGACTCGGGATTCAAGAGAACTACAGCAGGACTCCCAGCAGAGCTTGCAGAAGAGGACTTCACCATTAGACAAAGGCAGGCATTGGCCTTGGGCCCCCAAAGGTCAGATATATCCTATGATGTTTGAAACATCAACTTACTTTCTTATTCAGACATGCAACCTAACCTATTCTTGAATAATTTGCAGGCTCTTAAAGCACCACTTTTTTCAACATCCCCCACCACCACCCTAAATTACTGGTAAATGGACTATTCCATTTCTAGATGCACTGCTATGACTATGTAAACAGGTGGTGAAGCTCTGACTCAGTGACATGCCAAGAATCTGAACAGCAGAATCAAAACATGAAAAGGATTTATCCCAGTGGGAATTCTTAGAACATGAATAAACACCAATACACCTGAAGAAAACTACATTCAGCCAGAAAGAAAAGCAGAAACATGGTGGGCCAGTTGGCAGTTCTCCTCAAGCAAATAAACAAGGTTTAAAAAAATAAATAAAATTGTTTTAGTTTCTATGCATTATCTACATCGCTTATTCCAGAATAGGGTCACGGGGGCTGAAGCCAGTCCCATCTGATATCGGGCGAGAGGCAGGGTCCACCCTGGACATGTCATCAGTCTGTCACAGGGCTAACACGTAGACAAACAACCACACACACCTACAGGCAATTTAGCATCACCAATCAACCTAAGCTGCATGTCTTTGGACTGTGGGAGGAAGCCAGAGCACCCGGAGAGAACCCACACAGGCACAGGGACAACATGCAGACTCCACACAGAAAGGCCCTGGGTCGGCCCGGGCTTGACCATGGAACCTTCTTGCTGCAAGTCAACAGCACTAACCACTGCACTATCATGCCACCCAAAATTGGTTGTCCTGCCTTATTTTTCATTTACATTTAACCATATCATACCTACTCAGCATGTGCATGTACCGTCTGAATGTGTGGATGAGGTGTGCACGTTCTTTCTGCAAATTTTGTTTATACAGACGAGTTTATGTGGAAAAATGTCTATGCATGGTTTTGGTATGTATGCATCATTTATGCATCTGGCCCCTGGTAATTCAGCTCAGACCCAGTGAGGCCCTACCTGCTGTCAGAGATGGTCTTGGTGAAGAAGTGTAGGTACTGGTAGATCTCCACGCTGTCGTGAATCTTCAGAAAGTCATCCTCTTTGTATCTGAAGAGAGCCAGAGTGTACCTGAAGATCACCTGTAGCACAGACCACAAGCCGTTCACAAACATAGTTCTCCAGCGCTGACGATACATCATAGTTCGTTTAAGGAGTCTGTTTACAAGAGTTTTGTGTCAGTGTTGTGGTGGTGGTACCTTGGTGCCCTCATACAGGAAGGCATCCCACAGTGGCAGCAGGATGTCACTGGGCAGAGTCTACACAAAAACCACCAGGAACCAGTTGAAGGTGACCAGAGACACATCGATGCTGTGGTCCTCAAAGTGAGCTGCCAGCCGGGGTAGTTTCTCAGCCAGGAAGTCCTTCAGCACCCACTGGTCTGCCTGAGACAGGAAATGCTCATCAATAACTCTGATCAGTCAATACAGTGGGGGAAAATAACAATACATCAATAATAAAAGTACATTTACTCAACTCCTGCACTGAAGTACAGTTGTGAGGTACTGGCACTTTACTTGAATATTTCTGTGTCCTGCTTCTTCATACTTGGACTTCACTACTGTATATGTCAGAGACAAACCTTGTACTTTTTACTGCACTACATGTGTTTGGTTAACTTTAATTCGTTTTTGGAATCAGATGCATCAAACAAAACACAGTAGAACCATCAGACTTTATTGATCTCTGGTGGGATCCAGCTACCCAGCAGCAGGTACTTCACATTATAAGTATACAAGGTAGTTAAAGAGACAATGGCTGCTCATTTCCAGCATCCATCCATCCACCCATTTTCCTCCACTTATCCAGAAACGGGTCACGGGGGCAGCACTCTAAGCAAAGATGCCCAGACTTCCCTCTCTCCAGACACTTCCTCCAGCTCCTCTAGTTAGGGGAAGGCCGAGGCGTTCCCAGGCCAGCCGAGAGACATAGTCCCTCCAGCATGTCCTGGGTCTTCCCTGGGGCCTCCTCCATTTCCAGAATTTAATATTTAATCTTGGATACCTCTAGAATAGCTTTGCACCCATCATAACTCCAAATAGTATGTAATTATTTCAGAATGATAAAACCCGAGAGCCTACTCCTGAAAATGAGAAGATAGTTTGGGAATGCTTACAACTCCTGCTGCCAGTGTCTTGAAATCCATTTCCTCTAACCTGAATCCTAACACACAGCTACTGATAGGGGAGCTACATGAAACAAAGTTTTGTATAGGGGAAACGCATTTCGATGGGGGAACATGTTCACTTCAAAGTGCACTTTGATACAGTATTGGTCAGGACAATGCATACACAAAAAACATTGACAAATAAGCTGTTTTTGACAATGACACCTCATATCCTACCTGACATGTTTGAGCCAGAATATGAAAGTGGACAGCACAACAATCTGCTACAGTATTAATTAAAATCAATGGAAAGTTTACTGAAAGTCTGATCACAGGTAGGCCTTGCAGCACATGATTCAGAGAGACAGAGCTCCCGCAGGAAAACCACCTTCTGAATCCTGAATCATGCTTTACAATGCATTTTATCTTCTTGGGCTGCTCTGCCCTGGACAGAGGTACAACATTCAACAGCTTTTTGATCCTATTGTCCATTTGGTGTGAACCGGAGCTCCCCCTTGTTAGAATGTGGTAAAGTCTAGGTATGTGTGTGTGTGT